AAAAAAGAACCAAACCTTCAAAACTAGAAGGAGCCGTTCCTGATATGGTGGCATCTCAACACAAATCACTTTTTGATACTCTCAAGGAAACTTCCTTACTTGGAAAACAAAGTCAAATATATATTATATATTATATAATATAACAAAAGAAAAACCAAGGAAATTAAACAAAGATAAACCAACATGCCTTTTTTTTTTTTTCCTGTTTTTACAGTTCTTATTTTATTTTATTAGGGGTAAAGTTGGAAGATAAAGTCTAACAGTGAAAAAAAGTTAATTTTCTTTTCAAAAAAGACACGTGGTAAGTTTTGAGTGGAAGTATCACCAGCTGACGTGGTGATACAGTATCATTGTATAATATTATACAATGATACAGTATCACCACGTCAGCTTGTGATACTCCCACTCAAGATCTACCATGTGTCCTTTTTGAAAAGAAAATTAAAAAGAATTTACACCTGGACTTTGATAATTTCTCCTCAAACACAACACAAGAAGACTCCCAAATGCAAGCAAATTTTTATTTTTATTTTTTGTGGTTCTCTTCTTCTCCAACACCGAGTTGGAAAATAATCCTCCATAAGACCAGACCAGTGCCTTTCTTTCAAGATTTTTATTTATTTATCAGATCTTTCAAGGTTCTTCCTTTTTTATAGATAGATATAGATGTATAAATTTTATAATACATTATACACATCTTTATTAGCTTCTTTTTCTTTATTATTTGATTCAACAAAAAATTTGGCAAAGATTCTTTACAATTGGAAGTTTCAAGTTAAAGAAAAGATGCTCAAAATCCAAGTTTTATTGTTATTTTGTTAATTAGTTATTTGTTAATTAGTTTTTTAGTTATTATGTTGTATTTATTATAAAAATTAAAAAATTCTTCCTAATAAACAACTTTATGGAAATCTCAAAAGACAAAAAAGAATAAGAAGAATAAATTTTTTCAAGTGTAAGAGGATCTTTGAATAAATATTTTGTTAAAAAGACCAATAATTCACTTGAAAATTTACCAAATGCATCTGACCAGTGTTTAATTTTGACAAAAATTGTAATTTTAGTGTTTAATTTGTCTAAAAGGGCACACTTTCGAAATTTGCCCAGGCCTTAGAAAAACCTGGACTGGCTCTAGTTATAGTGAAACTTTAAGTACCATGTGAGCCATGCAAGATACTCTTCCTCATACATCTCCATATACATAATTTCTTATACCCAAAAACTTAATATGTCGGAAAATAGGCCAGCAATGTATTAAAAACTAACATATCAAAACTTCACAAATTCTAATGTTGCAAGGTTCCAATACAGAAACTGCAGGCATAAAACTTGTACATAATAATATTGTGCATCCATGCATATACAATCCATTTAAACTGATCTTTGAATAAATATTTTGTTAAAAAGACCAATGCTTCACTTGAAATTTTACCAAATGCATCTGAGCAGTGTTTAATTTTTACAAAAATTGTAATTTTAGTGTTTAATTTGTCTAAAAGGGCACACTTTCGAAATTTGCCCAAGGCCTTAGAAAACCCTGTACCGGCTCTGGTTATAGTGAAACTTTAAGTACCATGTGAGCCATGCAAGATACCCTTCCTCATACATCTCCATATACATAAATTCTTATACCCAAAAACTTAATGTGTCGGAAAATAGACCAGCAATGTATCGATAACGAACACATCAAAACTTCACAAATTCTAATGTTGCAAGGTTCCAATACAGAAACTGCAGGCATAAAACTTGTACATAATAATATTGTGCATCCATGCATATACAATCCATTTAAACTCAATAGCCCATGCGGAAATTACTTGACTTGCTTGTGTGCAAACTTGCTTTATCGGTTAGCAGAGATGGCTGTGAAGGGTCACATGAACACGACAAGACGGAGCACATTTGTGGACGTCCATTAGGCTTATGTTTCAACCAAACGAGTGGTGATCTTTACATTGCTGATGCTTATATGGGGCTACTCATTGTCGGCCCTCAAGGTGGCTTGGCTACTGAGGTTGTAACACGTGCACATGGCATTCCATTTGGGTTTACAAATGCCTTGGACATTGATCAAGAACTGGGAGCAGTGTATTTCACAGATAGCAGTTCACAATATCAGAGAAGGTACAATAAAAATCCCACCATGATTTCTGTTTTTTTTATAACTTAAAATGGTAATTATTTTTCTAGTAAGTGCTAAAGCATTGGTTCAAAAATATTATTGGATTAAAGTCGCACCTCCTATATATTGTTTTTTCTTCTTCTTTTCTGAAGGACTAATGACCATGGAAGTGATGCATGTATGTGCCTTTTTCAGGAATTACATCTCTGTGATACTAAGTGGGGATAAAACTGGAAGGCTAATGAAATATGACCCAGAAAGCAAACAAGTGCAAGTTCTTCTTGAAAACCTCTCATTTCCAAATGGGGTGGCATTGAGCAAAAATGGAGACTTCATTCTACTGGCAGAGACCAGACATTGCAGGATTATGAGGTATTGGTTAAAAACACCGAAAGCCGGAACTTTCCAAGTGTTTGCTCAACTTCCAGGATTTCCAGACAACATTAGAAGGAGCCCCAGAGGGGGTTTTTGGGTGGGGATTCATTCAAGAATACTGTGGATTTTGAAATTGATTCTTTCATACCCTTCCTTAGGAAATGCACTGCTTAAGCTTCCTTTGGACATTACGAAAGCTTATTCTTACGTGGCGAAATGGACAGGGAGCGGATTGATAATCAGGTTGAGTGAGCAAGGTGTTATATTGGAAATGCTTGAAGACACAAGTGGAAATAGATGGAAGTCTGTTAGTGAAGTGGTGGAGAAAGATGAAACTCTTTAGATTGGATCAGTTAAAATGCCATTTGCAGGAAAATATAAAATTTAAGGGTTTTTTTTGTCCTTTGAATACTATTAGAATACTAAATGAAAATTAATTTCCCTTTAATCAAGTTTCATAAATTTTGATGACCCAATATGACTATTAGTTGTTCACTAGGAGCCGTTTGGTAAGCTTTTGGTTTTAAGTGTCTACTTTTTCTCCTGCTAAACCTAAACCCTTTCTATTTTGTATAGTTGACTTGTTCTATTGTAATTAGAACTAGTTGTCTTTCTTGTTGTACACATAGTGTAATAGTACATTTTTCTTGTTTTTCATTTATTAGTGGAGGTTACGATGTTCGAATTTGAGACCTGTTTACCCGTTTTGATGTAGTTTCTGTGGTGGTAGGGTAAAGTTCCTCATTGACTCGAAAATCATTGATGGTCAACAAGTAAACTTTCTTTTATGTGCAAGCGTGCCACTGTTAACCGTTAAAAACCCTAACAGACTACGAAATATAATAACTTGCACCCCGAGCTATTGACTTTGATCAAGTGATTGTGAATTTGGGTGAGGAATATCTCCCAAGTAAGTTCTTTTCTTGCCTCAGACGGGTGAGGACTTTATAATTTCCCACAGTAAAACTAGTAAGTTTAACCAAAATAAGTGTTTGAAAATAAAACAAACTAGTTCAAAGAGAACTGCTTATTACACAATCAAACAAAAGAAACTGGCAAGTCCGAAAAGACATCAGAACATTGGACTTCGATTTCTGCTTGGATTGTTGTCTTTGACTCAGGCTAGACTAGATAGATCTGTACTGGAATTAAATGTCAGCACCTTAAACTAATACAGTTCAGCTGGAAATCGATACCAATGTTGAGATTGGCAAAGCTATAAACAAAAAGCTTCTTGTTTTTTTGGTTTTTTTATTTTTATTTTTATTTTTATTTTTTATATTTGAAGATTCCCTTTTGAAAAAAAGCATGGTGAGAGGTGCTTATCGGCACTCTCAACTACCCACGGTATTTATTATTACTTGTATTCCTTTTTCATTGAATAATAGTTATCTATGAGATTCATACTGAACGTCTCTTTTAACAAAAGAAAATCGGGTGCATTAGAATATCATTAAAGTTGTATACCCACCAAATTTATTACTTGCATTCTATTTTCATTCAACAATTGTTATTTATGAGATTTTAAACTCAGCGACAAGAAGAAAATTGGGTGCATTAGAACCTCATTATGCACAGTCCAACCTTAGTTATAGTCAGAGGCAGCCCTGGCCCAGGGCTATCAGGGCTACAGCCAGGGGCACACAATTTTTTTATAGGCCATATATGTGTATATTTTATAAAATTTAAATAAATTTTAAAAGAAAAGAAAAGAAAAAAAAGAACCAAACCTTCAAAACTAGAAGGAGCCGTTCCTGATATGGTGGCATCTCAACACAAATCACTTTTTGATACTCTCAAGGAAACTTCCTTACTTGGAAAACAAAGTCAAATATATATTATATATTATATAATATAACAAAAGAAAAACCAAGGAAATTAAACAAAGATAAACCAACATGCCTTTTTTTTTTCCAAGTTTTATTGTTATTTTGTTAATTAGTTATTTGTTAATTAGTTTTTTAGTTATTATGTTGTATTTATTATAAAAATTAAAAAATTCTTCCTAATAAACAACTTTATGGAAATCTCAAAAGACAAAAAAGAATAAGAAGAATAAATTTTTTCAAGTGTAAGAGGATCTTTGAATAAATATTTTGTTAAAAAGACCAATAATTCACTTGAAAATTTACCAAATGCATCTGACCAGTGTTTAATTTTGACAAAAATTGTAATTTTAGTGTTTAATTTGTCTAAAAGGGCACACTTTCGAAATTTGCCCAGGCCTTAGAAAAACCTGGACTGGCTCTAGTTATAGTGAAACTTTAAGTACCATGTGAGCCATGCAAGATACTCTTCCTCATACATCTCCATATACATAATTTCTTATACCCAAAAACTTAATATGTCGGAAAATAGGCCAGCAATGTATTAAAAACTAACATATCAAAACTTCACAAATTCTAATGTTGCAAGGTTCCAATACAGAAACTGCAGGCATAAAACTTGTACATAATAATATTGTGCATCCATGCATATACAATCCATTTAAACTCAATAGCCCATGCGGAAATTACTTGACTTGCTTGTGTGCAAACTTGCTTTATCGGTTAGCAGAGATGGCTGTGAAGGGTCACATGAACACGACAAGACGGAGCACATTTGTGGACGTCCATTAGGCTTATGTTTCAACCAAACGAGTGGTGATCTTTACATTGCTGATGCTTATATGGGGCTACTCATTGTCGGCCCTCAAGGTGGCTTGGCTACTGAGGTTGTAACACGTGCACATGGCATTCCATTTGGGTTTACAAATGCCTTGGACATTGATCAAGAACTGGGAGCAGTGTATTTCACAGATAGCAGTTCACAATATCAGAGAAGGTACAATAAAAATCCCACCATGATTTCTGTTTTTTTTTAAACTTAAAATGGTAATTATTTTTCTAGTAAGTGCTAAAGCATTGGTTCAAAAATATTATTGGATTAAAGTCGCACCTCCTATATATTGTTTTTTCTTCTTCTTTTCTGAAGGACTAATGACCATGGAAGTGATGCATGTATGTGCCTTTTTCAGGAATTACATCTCTGTGATACTAAGTGGGGATAAAACTGGAAGGCTAATGAAATATGACCCAGAAAGCAAACAAGTGCAAGTTCTTCTTGAAAACCTCTCATTTCCAAATGGGGTGGCATTGAGCAAAAATGGAGACTTCATTCTACTGGCAGAGACCAGACATTGCAGGATTATGAGGTATTGGTTAAAAACACCGAAAGCCGGAACTTTCCAAGTGTTTGCTCAACTTCCAGGATTTCCAGACAACATTAGAAGGAGCCCCAGAGGGGGTTTTTGGGTGGGGATTCATTCAAGAATACTGTGGATTTTGAAATTGATTCTTTCATACCCTTCCTTAGGAAATGCACTGCTTAAGCTTCCTTTGGACATTACGAAAGCTTATTCTTACGTGGCGAAATGGACAGGGAGCGGATTGATAATCAGGTTGAGTGAGCAAGGTGTTATATTGGAAATGCTTGAAGACACAAGTGGAAATAGATGGAAGTCTGTTAGTGAAGTGGTGGAGAAAGATGAAACTCTTTGGATTGGATCAGTTAAAATGCCATTTGCAGGAAAATATAAAATTTAAGGGTTTTTTTTGTCCTTTGAATACTATTAGAATACTAAATGAAAATTAATTTCCCTTTAATCAAGTTTCATAAATTTTGATGACCCAATATGACTATTAGTTGTTCACTAGGAGCCGTTTGGTAAGCTTTTGGTTTTAAGTGCCTACTTTTTCTCCTGCTAAACCTAAACCCTTTCTATTTTGTATAGTTGACTTGTTCTATTGTAATTAGAACTAGTTATCTTTCTTGTTGTACACATAGTGTAATAGTACATTTTTCTTGTTTTTCATTTATTAGTGGAGGTTACGATGTTCAAATTTGAGACCTGTTTACCCGTTTTGATGTAGTTTATGTGGTGGTAGGGTAAAGTTCCTCATTGACCCGAAAATCATTGATGGTCAACAAGTAAACTTTCTTTTATGTGCAAGCGTGCCACTGTTAACCGTTAAAAACCCTAACAGACTACGAAATATAATAACTTGCACCCCGAGCTATTGACTTTGATCAAGTGATTGTGAATTTGGGTGAGGAATATCTCCCAAGTAAGTTCTTTTCTTGCCTCAGACGGGTGAGGACTTTATAATTTCCCACAGTAAAACTAGTAAGTTTAACCAAAATAAGTGTTTGAAAATAAAACAAACTAGTTCAAAGAGAACTGCTTATTACACAATCAAACAAAAGAGACTGGCAAGTCCGAAAAGACATCAGAACATTGGACTTCGATTTCTGCTTGGATTGTTGTCTTTGACTCAGGCTAGACTGGATAGATCTGTACTGGAATTAAACGTCAGCACCTTAAACTAATACAGATCAGCTGGAAATCGATACCAATGTTGAGATTGGCAAAGCTATAATTAGATTTAGCCATGGAAAGGCTTGTTGAGTGGGCAGAACTAGGATCTCTCTGGCCTAGACTGGATTGGAAGTGGTTGGATTGGCAATTGTTGACCTGGAATCGCACTTCAGTTGTGATATCCCGTTGCTAAATTAATATTTAATTCTTAAAGTATTCAAGTAAAAGACAATTTTACCCAAAGAGTATTTTAATGGGTTTAGAGTTGACTTTTTGTTCGGGAAAGAATTTAGGGATTTGAGTAACACGGTTACATAGAGCGCGTTGATACGAGTTTGTAGACACGTAGTGGAAGGTAGAAAAGGAAATGATAACAGGATTCAAGGATTGAGTGAGAAACATTATTATAATTTTTTAGGAAAGATTTTTAAACCACCATAGGTACCCAAATGTTGCCTTTGGATAAATTGATGCCTCCTGATATAATGATGTCCACGGACATCCTAGTTTCCTTTGGTTGAGTTAGCACGCATTTGACATTTGCCCCACGAGTCTTAGGGATACCCGAATCGTGTGGAGCGAGGAATGCAGCTCAAGTTAACTTTGTGGGACATTCTACTGCAATCCTACTGTAATCGAGTACCGGAGCACCACCACCGGCAGTAATCAAGTACCGGAGCACCATTTTTGTACTATTTTTGTAAATTAAATTAATTAGTATGCTCTGATATTGCCCTAGGATTTCTGTAAAGCCTGAGGCCACACAGATTTGCTGTGGATTGTGTGTGTTCTAACATTATGCATGCTGAACGCTTGTGGATATATGAATTGCATTTTGAACATGTGTAAATTTTGGGAAACGAGCAATTTACAGGGGAGACTCGGACGATTTTTTAGCAGAAGTCAAACCTTAAAAGAATTCTTGAGATTTAGTTTAAGGGCAATTTGGTCAAATGTGCCCGGCACCTGCTAGGTGTTGGACACGCACAAGGTTCGACACAGATTCCAAAGTGGAATTTGGGTCGGGTCATGTCATCAGTACTTGTTCTGCTTGGCTAGGGGTCGCCTGAGAGCTACTCTGGTGATTCTGGGACATCAAGGTGTCTCTGAAAATTTGTTGAGGTTTTCAAATTATGAAAAACACCTGAACTCCACTTGATTCACTTACTCTGAACCAAATTTGTAACGAGAGAAATCTTGTTTCCCTTGTGAACTGCTTCTTTGAACTGAATTGGTCAGAAATCTGAGTTCTGCCCGTTTCGTTGGAAGCTGGGTGGCTTTTGCAAACCAAACAACTTGATTGCTTCTGAATTTGAAGAGTTTTGAGATCATCTAATCTTGTTTGGATTTTTGTCAGTATGACTGAGGTTTTTTTTTTAATTGGATTTTTTGTTGTCTCCGATCCAATTCACCTCCTTCTATAGTTATAGGAAATCTGCATGAGTGATGATTCTTTAATATTTGGAGGATCTTTGCTGAGAGGTTTTCGCACCAGCATGAAACTCAGCCTGTTTTTCTGGCATTTAATGGTTATGGGGAGTGGTTTTTTTATTTCACCTTTCTTCCAACTCCCCTGAATGTCCTCTGTCTGTTTCCTGTTGACGTCTTGTCATTGGAATCACATGGGTATTGCGGAGAGAGACTCCCTCTCTTTAGCTATTAAAATTGCTGATCTGGTTTCAAATTGGTAATCAACAGTGATGATCAAACCTTGAGCCCTTAGGAATATAATTTGGAAACTGGGTATGAATTAAACCAATTAAATATGGCTTTTTTTAGATTAAATCACTATTTAATGGCAATCAACCTTTATCTTGTGAAGATTAATTTTGTAATTGATTTCATTCCATTTCCCTTCTTTTGAAATGTCCTGGGCTAAATTCTAATTTTGGGTAAAATAGAGCCCAAACCCATGCCGTTAGTATAGCCCAATAGCTAGATGGGCCGGCGCCTAGAAATTAAGCCCAAACAAGACTTCTTCCAGGATTAGAAATAGAAGTATTAGTAGATCAAGAGGTAGTTGATAGTACATTTTTCTTGTTAAAATAGAAGAATAGCACACTTCAATATTTTCCAAGTATCATTATTTGACATGGTATGAAAGCATCGATCCTAAACACATGCCGCTTTCCTGCTTTTGTCTTACCTTATCTTATCTTACTTTACATTGTCTTGCCTTATCACCTTTGCCCTAAATCCCAAATTTTTAGCATTTTGCCTCACATGTATTGCTTTATCTTTTACCTTTGACATTAACCCTAAAATATTTTCTTATCCTTATCTCTTCATTCCCCTTGTTATTGTCTATTGGCTGCTTGCGTTGCTGTCCTGCTTTGATTTTTCGCTACGTGTCACTTGCTGCCATGTTGCTTCATTTTTCAATGGGTACCAATTTGAATTACATTTTGCATCTTACTAGTCGCGCCCATACTATGAAATATGAATTTTTCTGACCAAAAAAAAAAACAAAACTATGAAATATGAATTCCATGAACTTTGTCATGGAAAATGAGCTACGGCTCATTCTTCCGCATGATATTATAGTTTGTTTCATGTTATCTTCATAAATGTTGTGTTCTCCCTTTGTACTTTTTTTGTTTTTGTTTTTCTAGCACTTAGGAATATAATTTGGAAACTGGGTATGAATTAAACCAATTAAATATGGCTTTTTTTAGATTAAATCACCATTTAATGGCAATCAACCTTTATCTTGTGAAGATTAATTTTGTAATTGATTTCATTCCATTTCTCTTCTTTTGAAATGTCCTGGGCTAAATTCCAATTTTGGGTAAAATAGAGCCCAAACCCATGCCGTTATTATAGCCCAATAGCCAGATGGGCCGGCGCCTAGAAATTAAGCCCAAACAAGACTTCTTCCAGGATTAGAAATAGAAGTATTAGTAGATCAAGAGGTAGTTGATAGTACATTTTTCTTGTTAAAATAGAAGAATAGCACACTTCAATATTTTCCAAGTATCATTATTTGACATGGTATGAAAGCATCGATCCTAAACACATGCCGCTTTCCTACTTTTGTCTTACCTTATCTTATCTTACTTTACATTGTCGCCTTATCACCTTTGCCCTAAATCCCAAATTTTTAGCATTTTGCCTCACATGTATTGCTTTATCTTTTACCTTTGACATTAACCCTAAAATATTTTCTTATCCTTATCTCTTCATTCCCCTTGTTATTGTCTATTGGCTGCTTGCGTTGCTGTCCTGCTTTGATTTTTCGCTACGTGTCACTTGCTGCCATGTTGCTTCATTTTCCAATGGGTACCAATTTGAATTACATTTTGCATCTTACTAGTCGCGCCCATACTATGAAATATGAATTTTTCTGACCAAAAAAAAAAACAAAACTATGAAATATGAATTCCATGAACTTTGTCATGGAAAATGAGCTACGGCTCATTCTTCCGCATGATATTATAGTTTGTTTCATGTTATCTTCATAAATGTTGTGTTCTCCCTTTGTACTTTTTTTGTTTTTGTTTTTCTAGCTAAAGAAAAATAGAATAGTCAAAAATAAGTTTTGGATTTCAGTTTACTCTTCCATCCTACCATTGAGGTTTCCTAGAAGAGAAAAAAAGGGGATACACCTCCACCCACCTAATGAAAATTTGTGTTATTCCCTCTCTCCCAATCGCTTATACTGGGGAAAAAAAAAAGGTGCAGATCCATGTGAAATCATCGATGCTAAACCCTATTCATATAAAAAAAAAATACATCAAAATGGGGATAAAAAAACAAGAAATTAAGTACAAATATATTCAAATGATACGGTTTCTCATTCATTTCTTTTGAAGTCACACATTGACCAAAACCTATTGACCCAATACTGAAAGAAAGGTCCAACGCGCTTGTGCACAAATTAGCCCCAACGTTATATTCAAGAACACAAAATTGAATATAAGGGAAAGTTTGAGGAATCAATAATCTTATCAGGGTTGGCATTGACAATGAAAGGGGTCGAGCACCACCACATCCACATCCACATCCACACACATACAAACTTACGTTTTCAAGCCATCTGGTTCGTTTGAGTTATCTTCAAAGTTGGATAAGTATCCTTCTGATTTCTTGGTTGTAGACATCATTTGTGAAACTTCCTTTATGACTTACTTCTTTTATTATGGAATTGGAATTGGAATGAAAAACAAGTAAAGTATGACCACCACCCTCTTTTCCCATTTTGAAATATGGAATTGGAATCTGAAATTC